CAGAGCCCTGTGGGACCCCACTGGTCACTTCTCTCCAGGATGAAAAAGTTCATCTGAGTCCCAATTTTTTTTTTGGGGGGGGGAAGCAGGACATAAATAATTTATTGTTGTGTGCCTTGAAGTTGTTTCTAACTTATGAGTACCCTAAGCCATGGGGTTTTCTTGGCAGGTTTCTTCAGAGGAGGTTTGCCATTGCCATCCTCCAAGGCTGAGACAGTGTGACTTGCTCAAGGCCACCCAGTGGGTTTCCATGGCTGAGCTGGGATTCAAACCCAGGTCTCCCAGTGTCCTAACCCAGCACTCAAACCACTACATCCTGCTAGCTTTCAATATAAATAATAATATTGTAATAAAAAGTATGAATAATTATAATAATATTGTTATTATTCATAGGGACTGCTCCTGTCAGATTGGGACAGCTGGATGGTATGCAACACTGCCACAACTGAGCAACCCTGGAGAAAGTGTAAGTGGTGGCCTATTGCACTGATAGGATGGTTATCCAAATAATTAAATGATAGTTGGTGATGGTGATGGTGATGGTGATAATCCAGGACCATTCTCTGTTTGCTTTGCAGAAGGCATTTCTTCTCTGTGGGCGTGTGGCGGTGACCTCCGCAGCCATGTTATCGCGGTGGTGGGGTTATCTCGGTTTCTTATCCATGAGGCAACTGGGCGCGTGCGGATGGCTTGTTATCACTTCCAATATCCACCAAGGCAAGTGAGATAGTGGTTACACATTGGCGTCTCTGGCCAAGAGCTGAAGTAACAGTACATCTGGGGTGCATTTGCAATTGTGCACAGAAAGCACACCCCAAAATTGCTTTGTTGTAACTAGGAAGGACAATGCTAGATTGATTACCCCTGCCTCTCTCTGGAGGACATTTGCCTTCCTTCATGCCCGCAATCTCTTTCTATAGCTGCATGTTTGCACACCCAGATAAGCGACTGCAGTTTGCAAGCAGATTAGTAATTGCCATTTGATAACCACTGCAAATACCCTGCTCCTTCTCCACCCCAAATAATAGGAGAATTAAAGTCAGTCCCAAGATAGGATAGGGGACAGATGAGGAAAAGCTGATTTCCACCACCCCCACCCCTAAGTTTGTTTACTAGCTACAGCTGGTTGGGGGAAAACAATAACAATAATACAGTAACAATAATATTGCATTTATTTTTATTCCCCTTTTTTCCTGTTGTGGACTCAAGGCTGCTTGCCAATGTTAAAATGGATGCAGCTAAAATATACAAGAGGATCAGCATGGCATAGCAGCGCTTTGAGTGTTGGACTATGACTCTGGGGACCAGGGTTCGATTCCCAGCTCAGCCATGAAACTGACACTGAGCAAGTCACACACTCTCAGCCTCAGGGGAAGGCAATGGTAGACTTCCTCTGAACAAATCTTGCCAAGAAAACCCCATGTCCTTAGGGTCGCCGTAAGTCAGAAATGACTTGAAGGCACACAATAACAACAACAACAGCAAAATACAAACTAAGATATAATCAAAGTCTCGAAAGAATGACAAGGTGTGAGAAGCATTTCGCCTCCAGCTTTCCACCTCCTAAGGAAGCCTCCTCCAAATGCATCTGTTGTGAGAGGAGACGGTGAGTCAGAGAGGATCCGAGAGCCTTTGCGCATAGAAGGCCATCATGTGCTGCTCTGTTTTTATGGAGCAATAAACCAGGCGGGCTCCATTTCCTCCCGAAGGCTGTCTCCCAAATTTACAAAACCGAGTTCAAGAGTCACAACAGTGAGGAAAGATGCAAGTTTGCCACACCAAACCAGGGCCGGCTCTGGCCAGGTCCAAACCAAACAGGCCTTGGCCTCCCTTCCTCCTTGGCCTTGCAGTAAACAGTTGTGTGTGTGTGTGTGTGTGTAAGAGAGAGTGTAACCCTCCACCCCCAGGCTGCTTTTAAGCAGATGCTGGGTGGCCATCTGTCACAGGGATGGTGCATTCCTGCATGGCAGAAGTGGGTTGGAATGGATGGCCCTTGGGTGTCCCTTCCAACTCCAGTGGAATATGGATTTCCTTGGAGGGTGGTGGACTCTCCTTCTTTGGAGGCCTTTAAGTAGAGGCTGGATGGCCATCTGTCAGGGGTGCTTTGATTGAGAATTCCTGCATGGCGGAAGGGGGTTGGACTATATAGCAATAGCAATAGCAAGTACATTCTATATCGCTTATCAGTGCACTTGAGTACTCCCTAAACAGATTACAAAGTGTAAGCTAATTGCCCCCAACAAACTGGGGACTCATTTTAGCAACCTTGAAGGATGCAAGCCTGAGCTGACCTTGAGCTCCTGGCTGGAATTGAACTCACAACCTTATGGGTTGTGATGGATGGCCCCAAGGGTCCCTTCCAACTCTAGGGGTGCATCTAGGGTGTACAAATTCAACCCTGCTTTCACTGCCATGGCTCCAGAATCCTGGGATCTGTAGCTTTGCCAGGCACCACCAAGCCCTTTTTAGCAGAGAAGGCTAAAAGAGACCTTGCGAAAACTACAAAAACTGAGAGCCGGCATGGTGTAATGGTCTGAGAGTTGGACTGCGACTCTGGAGACCAGGGTTCAAATCCCAGCTAGGCCATGGAAACCCACTGGGTGGCTTTGGACAAGTCACACACTCTCAGCCTCAGAGAATGATCATAGTAAAAAAAAAAAAAAAAAAAACCATGAAACTTGACCAGAAAAACCCAGTTTAGGGTCTCCCTATGTCAGTAAGGAAGGCACAGCAGAGCAACAGAAACTACAAATCCCAGGATTTCCCCAGGATGGAGATGTAGTGAGTGGGGTCAAGCTGCATGATGCCTGCCTGCAGTGCAGCTGCTTCCCAGGATCCCTCGGAAGAGCCCTTTTCTTCCCCTTCCTTTCTGCAGAGGAGTCCCATGGGACACTCCTTCCTTCCTTCCTTCCTTCCTATCTTCCTCCCTCCCTCCTTCCTGCTTTCCTTCCATCCATCCATCCACCCACCCTTTCATTCCTCCTTCCTTCTTCCCTCCCTCCCTCCCTTCCTTCGCTTCCTCCTCCTTTTCTTTTCTTTTCTTTTCTTTTCTTTTCTCTTTCTTTCTTTCTTT